TGGGACATGCTGCGGTGAGGTCGAGAGGCAGAGTCATCAGTCAGCGGAGAAGACAGCTATTGTTCTATGCGTGCTACATCACCTGACGACTGACGGGCGAACACGCGTTGTGGTTGGGCTGCTGAAGTCGTTGTCAGTGAGTGTGGCTTGCCTGCTCAGAAACACCCACAGAACAGGCCGAGAGGCATGAGCGCCACTGCAACGCGGTTGGGTGTGGCTAGCCTACAACATTGTCCTATATTTGAGCAGATATACAATTGTGTGTGTACAAGGAAGCATTAGATTTGCGAGGACTGAACAAGAGAAGAGCACCACCACTTCGTCACTATATGCACTAATCGATATCAACGTTGCGAGATTTTTTCAATCAAAAAACATGCGAGAAGTGTGATCCGCCCATGACTGGTCGACAAGATGAACCTGCACATCCCCGGGACTGTAGAAATAAGATGGAAAATGTGTCGCCCTGCATCAGTCCTTGAATAATATGGCTTGTTTACCGCTGTGCACGATCTCACCACGAATCCTCGAGTACATTGAGCAACAGTACACTGAGCAACTGGCAGCGATCTTCTCTTGAGCTTGAGCAGTGAGACCTATGTCTTTTCGCACGACACCTGGCATCGCATCTCATGTCGAAGCTTCTGGAAGACAAAGAAAGCAGCAAGCAGGAGGCTAAGATGCCACAGAGGTTCGCGCGCTGAAAATGATTCAAGACACGCAGAGCGTCTATCCAATGGAATTGGTGCAGCATCATCGCATGCATACTCCTTGACTCATGTCCTACTTGGACCTACAGACACACAACATGCCCTACCCGTGATGTTTTGTAAAGTATCGTCGGCCGCATATAATCCTGCTCGCGAGCGACTACTTACCACTATGAGGGCAGAGTCATGTACAAGTCTTCGCAGGCTGAGATCCTCCAAGTGAATCTTATCAGCTGTAGCTGATCAACATCACAATGCATTTGATGTAGGACCCGCTCACGGATGTATGATTTGCCTGTGCATAGCTACATATCTATCCTTGATTTGTCAAGTCGACGAGAGCTTTCGCGGCGCGGATTCGCGCGCAGAGATGACGCAATATTAACGAGTATGTTGACCTCAGGGATAATAGCTCGTATACAGAGACAATCGTAAGCATATTGAAAGTCCAGAGCTCTGTCTTCGTTTTGTACGGGAATGACCTGAGCATCGAACTTGAAGTCGCTATCACACGGTTGAAGAATGATCGATTGATCAACCAATAGGACACGTCGAACTGGCAATGGTGGGCGCTGGTGGGCGCGGCTTTATTTTGTTCTCTTAACTGAGTCTCTACTCTGCGATTCATAGGCCCTCGTACAACTCGATTTTGTAGCGCAGAACGATAAATGTATCCCTCTTGCTACATGCATTTCAAATTTCTAACTTGTCTATCCTGTCGTTACCGGGTGCAATGGCGGCTATGACAATTGATTACGGCCAGGAGCTGAGTTCGGAGAAAGATGCTATATGGTTGTGCTCTTGTGCATCAGTGTATTCTTAAAAAAGTGTGTTGTTAAGCTTGAGAGCGTCAGTGGTCTGTAATCGCCGTGTTTTCACGAGCTCGATCGGATTCTAACTACGACAATATGCTTGCGGTTTTTTCGGTTACGAAACCAGCGCGCGTTGGCATTATCAGCTATGTCACCGGGCGTTGGCATACTTGACACACACCCTCTGTAACTATTTGGTACTACATCTTAGCCGCCAGATATCAGCACTTTCATGTCATCATTACCCGCTGCACGGTATGGTATCACCACTGCTCATACTCGAATCGCCCATGCAGGCGCGTCACGATCTCCTGGTAGTCCGGTTCGTCCTCCGGCGTGAGGTACCCGTGGCGGATCATGAAATCGAGAATAACTGTCCAACATGGCGTGAGCACACGGCACGCGCAAGGGCAGCATCCTCACCTAGCGCCGTGTTGGGCTTGAACAGCCCCTGCTGCATGCGCGACACGACTTCGGCCAGGGGAAGGAGCTGTGGGGGTCGTCAGAGGGGACGCGCGCGGACGACGAGACTGCGCCGCTCACGTCGAACGATTCGACCTCGCCGTCAAGTGGTGTTGGCTTATATGCTTCCGGATCGGCCCCGGAGGGAATGCGGAGGTCATAGACATATCTGTGTTCATCGGGAATGATTTTCTTGGGTCCGGTCAGTACAAATGCGCGGCCTACTGGATCTCAGGTTGGAGCCATCCGGCGCTCGTTCTGCAGTTTGTTGTGTTCACAGAGGTGAGGAGGGCGCAATGAGTGTACGCGAGCAGACGCACCGGAAGAAATAGCTTATAGTACCTGCTACGCGCGCATGCATCCGGACCACGTCTTCCGCAAGGCTGGCCTCCTCCATCGACTCCTTGACGAGGCTCTCGAACGCGCCGAGCCCACACGGGATGCCTCCGGCGACGGTCTTGTCGAGGTAGCCCGGCCACGTCTGCTTGCTTCTGGAACGCATCGGCACCCACATGCGGCAAGAGTCCAACGCGCCATGCCGGTGCTCGTCCTCCTCGAAGATCGACATGTGCACACCGTACGTGACAACGCCAAAGAGCGCGCACGCGGAGCGCTCCATCATAAATGCATAGTTAGCCTCGTCGTCGTCTGTGTCGTCGATCAGCACCTCGTCGTGCACGCCGAACGGATTGCGGTATACCGCGTACATCTCGTTCCGCCATTTGCGTGGGCCGATCACGTCGGGCCAGCGCCCTTCCTCCCGCCAGCGCTCACACAGCTCTTTAATGACGCGCGTGCGTGCAGACGGCCCGTGGATGTGAGACGAGAAGCCGACGACCTGCCTGCCTTCGTGTGTGGCGAACTCCCATGCTGGGACCGAGCCTTTAGCATCCTCCGCGCGAAGCTGGGCTACGATCTCCGCGCGAAGGAGGCCGATGGCAGGGGATGTGGGATGGGCGGTAAGACGCCAGGTGGTGAGGGACATGCGGTCTGCATCTATGCGGTAGTTGTCGCAGGCTGCAACAATGTCCAGGGATGATCGGGAGGGAGCCGGGCGGGCCATGCTAAGGAAGTCGCTGTGTGGATTCTATGACACGGTCCAAAACACTTGCTACTTCAGGCGTCCGGCGCTAATCAGGATCACGATCAACGATACGAGAAGCGCTCGGTTTTGTTATTTTATTTCATCTCTTGAATTCCACGGGATTAGACTCCATACAATGTAGGTACATGTAGAGTGTATCCAAGCCAGGAGTGGTTTCTAACAGTGGGCTCCGCGCCCGTATTGCAAACGCGGGTCGCTCGGCGTCCTCCCCCCACAAGTTTCGGGCAGACTAAGTGCCCCGCCGACGGCGCAGGGGGCGATCCTTGCGCGGCGGACGCCCCGTCGTTGGTCCGACAGCAAGACAAAAAAAACAGGGGGCTGGCTAGCGACGAAACCCCCACCTCGCGCTTCACGCCGTGTGACCGGCGGCAGGAGACAGAGCAGGGGGAGGTGAGGTACCAAGAGCGAGGCCGCGCTCCTCCCATAAGATGAGGAGGTTCGTAGCGCGGGTTTCCACGTCGCGGAACGCGGCGAAGTCCTCGCTCAGGAACGAAGTGAACGCGGGCACTTTGTTCCGGTCATGGTGGAAGCGCTGCCACCGAAACACGCGCTCGACAGTGTGCGTGAGGAGATGGGCGTTCGCCGTCGAATGAAGTAGGAAGCGCTCGGTTTTGACAGGCGTGGTTGAGGCCAGAGGACTCGGAATTGCCCAAATTTGTCCTCCACACCGATATGTATAGCCTTCTCTGTCCGGGTCTTACATTTTCCATCAGCGCGCTCCTGTAGCCGCGCCCCGTGTTACGTTTGCACATCTCGCTCACACTTGTTGCAGAAAGGTGAGTTAGATCTACCAATCTCTTAAAGCTTGGTCCACCAGAGATCGGACAGTTGTTTCGGAGTAAGAGTTGTGTTCTCCTGATACTGTACATCTGTGGCTGATTTCGCTACCGCATCTCGGATCGTCGGCCGGAGACAACAGTTACTTTAGAGGGACGCGCCTACTCTTTAATCGCTCACCGTATTCGCCGTAAACCACCTTTCGTAGACAATGGAGAAAATATATGGATAATAACTGGATGGCGGTATACTGCATATTGAGACATAGGTAGTAATCATAGGATATTTCTCATATCCAAACTGGCCATATAGCCACATAGATCCCAAAAATCACTCTCTGACTCAGCATTGACTGAGTGATATGTGGCATTCCTGAATCCGTCTAGTATTGATATCATTTATGTTTATGTATGGGTTTGAAGTATAGCTAACGCACTGTTCGAGATAATTACTTGCGACGACGGGCAGTGCGACGCATGCTATGTCCACGCGGCTTGTCGTACGTCCATAGTTGGTAGAGGTTTTGGGTTCCATTGAGAATTTCGATCGCTTTGTAGTTGACTTCGTGCTCCTTGTAAAAGGCGTCTAAAGCCATTACGAAATCAGCTGGTCCGGCACCCTTCGACAGCGCCAAGCCGGCGTTGTATATAGCGAATTGGGGAGGGACACGGGAATACACGTAGCCCACGGTCTTGAATTCCCTTCGGAAAGCAGAGTTCTTGTCTGTGTCGGGAACGTCGCGGTGGGCAACAACGCAGTATTTGTAGATGGGGCCATGGCAGACTTCAAATGGCTCGCCCAGCGACTGAATAGCACCGTGAGCAAGATACTATGTCTAGGCCCTGTCTCTGTACTCACCATGCCTACATCTATGGGGACAATAGATTGTGCGAGATACTTCTTGATGACCTCAGGTTCAGGCATGAACAGCAGATCGCCTTGATCCCACATGGAGTGAACATCGGCTCTCACTATGTGGGGTATGGATCAGGGCTGTGCCGACCAACCGGGGCGTACGCACTCACATAGGAAGATGTTGAAAGGCGTGTTGATGTCGAAATCAACAAGCCCCCACCATGCTGCAAGGTTTTGACGCTACGGGCGCGAGAGCATTTGAGTCAGGTTGACGTGAACACCATTAAGGACAATTGTGGCTTACCGTTTTGTGTGTAGTGCTTCGCGCGACGACGTGGCAGCACTGAACGGACTTGTCATCTTGCAGACTGAGCAGGCACCGTGAACCAGTGGGCGCCAATTGGGCAGCGCACGACTTCAGGTTGCTATAGCACGGTTCGTCCTCGGGCTCGGGGGTCTTCGATTCGCAGCCTATTTCCTGGACAAGGCCTCCTGGACCAATGACAGCTATTGTACGACATGAAGATGTTTTGGTAAGTCCGTATCATATGGCAAGGCGAAGCATAACGACGTACCTTTCGGCCGTTCAGGCGTCCTTGGTATACCTGTCGGAATAATTATGGGAAGGCTACAAGCGAGATCGGTGATTGAGTTGACAGGAACCAAATATGTTCACTAACCTGGGCTCGTCCTCCGCCTCCTGTTGCTCACCCTCTACCTCCTGCGGCTCATCCTCGTTCCTTACCAACTGTGCATCCCAGGGTGGTGGTGCAGTCCACAAGTCAGCCAATGTCACCATACCCTCCACAACACGGGATGCATCGGCCTTGAGATTGATCCTCTTGTAGAACGCCTCTAGAACTTTTATCCACAGCTTCTTGTTCTCCTTGATCTTCATGACGGCGTTCAATATCATGAAGTGTGGCTTTGCCTGCGACTGGACACATTCGATTAGATCGAATTTACAGGCGAACCCTTCTCGGGTTTGACTATTTGCAAGGGCTGGGTGAGGAACCACAGAGTAGCTGTAAAATTTCTCAAATCGGTCAACGATAACGACGAGGATCCATACCTTTCTTCACATCTTTGAGCCTAAGAGATCGTCTCGGCTTGAGAATGCCGACCATGGCCAGGGAATTTGAGGGGGTGAAGTGGAGGTGGAAAGTGAAAGTGAAGGAAGAGACGGCGAGAGTGTGTGGCTCGAAACCGCGGAGGCTTTTATTGAGTTCATATTATCTTGTAACGCGCGTGACGACAAGCCAGACAAGCCATTATACCCCAATTTGGATGTTACGGCCATCGTCGACGCAGGTCAGTTACTGGAAAGCTCCGACATATTACCTAATCTGCACGGTCTGCACGAGGTCAGTACTGAAGCCTGCGATATCAGATGCACCGTCCGAGGTCTGAAAACTATGTTTCGCTCATCATGAGACACCCTACGTGGTCAGTCGGCAGGATATTCGATGGAACTCACCTAGGTTATCTTCAACGACCTCGCTGTGGCGCAGCATACCCAGGTAAAACTGT